GATAGATAGATAGATAGATAGATAGATAGATAGATAGATAGATAGATAGATAGATAGATAGATAGATAGATAGATAGATAGATAGATAGATAGATAGATAGATAGATAGATAGATAGATAGGACCCCCTTATTCACAGGATCAGTATCCACTGTTTCACTTATCCACAGTCTGAAAATATTAAAAATATTAGAAGGAAAAACAACCCAAGTATGTATATCTTTCTAATGATGAAGTTACTAGAACTGGCCACTAGAGGCAGCCAGAGACCATACTACAGTACTCTGTTTTCCCGAAAATAAAACCTAATCTGAAAATTAGCACTAGTATGATTTTTCAGATAAGCCCCAATCAAGTGAAAGGCCGCCCTCCACCATTGTGCAACAACCAGAATAATATGACATTATTATATTAGAATAAATGTAGATTGTTTTACATGAAAAAAAATCCCCTGCAGATAAGCCCTAATGCATTTTGAAGCAAAAATTAATATAAGACCCTGCCTTATTTTTGGGGAAACATGGCATGTATAGTGTTTGCTAGAGAAATATATATATTTCCACTATGTCATTATGAAAACTGGCCACTAGAGGCAGCCAGATACCATGCTATGCATAGAGTTCACTGTTAACAATAGTGTTTGCTATAATCCACATTTTTCAGCATCCGCTGGAACCAATCTACCATGGAAACCGGAATCTTACTGTATAGACATGTTATTTAAAAAGTGTCTTGAGTGCCTCACTACTTCCAGTTTGGGATTGTGTGACTATCAGGTGACTACTTGACTGTCTGGAATTAAACCTTTATCCTGTTGAAAAGCTTCCCAAAAAACTGGGATGACTCCTGTTAGGACTCAAGAACCGGGTTGTGTTATTTTCTCCTCTGCTCCAGAAAAGGCATTTCTTATAATCTTGCTTTTATCCTGGTTCTTGTCCTTTCTCTTCAAATGTACTTCACTGAGCTACATTTTTTTCTTTTGTCCTTTAACTTCCCCTTTTAGCCCCACCTAAATAAATATTCTCTTCATGAAGCTATTGCATGGTGTGTTCAAATACTAATTACCTGAAATCTTTCTTACTGGAGATGCTGTTAATTGAACCTGGGACCTTATTCATGCAGAGATTATTTGCTGTATGAATAGCCTGCCTTTCCTTTTATGAGCTCAAGATATTGTACTTGACTCCCCACTTCCAACCCTGCTTATAAACACCATAACACTGGGCAGGAAATGAGGCACAATTTGCTACCATTAAACATATTGTTCACCACCAACCTCCACGGCTTTAAAAGAGGCTTAGAAAAATGCCTGCTAGATAAGGGTGGTAGGGGCTCCCAGCCATAACACTGCATCCACTATCGGAAGCAGTAAACTTGTATATATACTTTGCTGAAGAAAGATGTTGTTGTGTCCACATTCCTACCCTGCTGTGAGCTTCCCACTGGAGCATCTGATTGGCCGCTATATGACCACAATACTGGACTAGATAAACCTTTCATGTTGACCAGGATCAGTTTTCTCATGTTTTTCACAGGAGTCACATAGAATCATAGAATAGTGAGTTGGAAGGGGCCTATAAGGCCATCAAGTCCACCCCCCCTGCTTGATTCAGGAATATAAATCAAAAGGTATCTGCCAAGTGTTTATCTACATTTTTGTGAATGTCTCCAGTGTTGGAGCGCTCACCACCTCTTAAGGTATTTGGTTCCACTGTTATACTTCTCTAACAGTTAGGAAGTTTTTCCTGATATTCAAATCTGGCTTCCTGTAACTTGCGCCCATTGTTCCATGTCCTGCACTCTGGGGTGACTGAGAACAGATCTTGCCCCTCCTCAGTTTGACAGTGTTTCAAATATTTGAAAAGTGTTATCATATCACCCCTCTCTGTTCTTTTCTCAAGACTAGACATGCCCAATTCTTTCAGTTTTTCCTCACAGGGCTTGGCTTCCAGCCCCCTGATCATCCTTGTTGCCCTCCTCTGAACTTGTTCCAATTTGTTAGCATCCTTCTTGTGGTGCGGTATCAAGAGCTGCGCACAATACTCAAGGTGAGGCCTAACCAGTGTTGAATAGAGGGGGACAAGCACATCGCGGGATTTGGAAACTATAGTTCTGCTAATGCAGCCTAAAATAGCATTTAACTTCTTTGTAGCCCCATCACATGGCTGGCTCATATTCAGTTTGTGATCTACAGCAACTCCAAGATCCTTCTCGCTCATTGTACTGTATTGCTGAGCCAGGTATCCCCCCATCTTGTAATTGTGCATTAGGTTTCTTTTTACAAGGTGCAGTACTTTGCACTTATCCTTGCTGAATTTCATTCTGTTGTTTTCAGCCCAGTGCCCCAGCCTATCAAGGTCGTTTTGAATTTTGTTTCTGTCTTCCAGCTATTTTGCCCAATTTGATATCATCTGCAAATCTGACAAGCATTACCTGTACTCCCTCACCCAAGTCATTAATAAAAATGTTGAAGAGCACTGGACCCAGGACTGAGCCTTGGGATACCCCACTTGTCACCTCCTTCCAGTTTGAGAAGGAGCCGTCAATCATCACCTTCTGAGTACGATTCTGTAGCCAATTGTGTATCTAAGTCAACTGGGTGTCCACTCCAAGGTAGAATTTAGGGTTCAAAATGTATAATGGAGGCCTCTGAAGGTTTGTAGTTGGCTGGATAATGCAGTGGTTTAGGTACTGTATCCGTCTGCAGACCCAGAGGCTGGGAGTTCAATTCCCCACTGTGCATCCCAGAAGAGCCAGCCTGTTTGATCTTGGGCATACTGCACAGTCCTTGGGTGACCCCAGAAGAAGGGAATGGTACGGAAGGGAATGAAGGGAAGGGAACACCACTTCTGAGTGCTCTCTACCTGCAAAACTCTGAAAGGGTCACCAGAAGTCAGCATTGATGTGATGGCACATGATGACTGGATGCTTCTAGAAAGGCCATTGTTGGCTCTAAATATTCGAAGAACCCTGTGCTTCCTCCTTCTCCTTCTTAAAAAGAATTAAGGAGAAAAACAGAGAGAAGAAATGGTAGAAAAACAGGGGGTTACTCATGAGACGCGTAGGACTGTTCCCCACCTATTGCCTAAGGTTCTGGGGATGAGGGAGAACAAATGCACAATGAAAGTGTCACCTGGAAGCCTTATTGGAACAATACGTCTAAAAGGCCACAGGTAAGCAGCTTCCCCTACCCACCCACCGGGGTTTTTTTTCTGGCCCATACCTAACCTATTGCTACAGGTCCTGTTGCTGCTTTCTCTTGATGCCAGTTTTTCTTAAAAATGAGAAAATCACAGGTATAGACTGATAGGTGGATTGACACACGTCTGTCTCAGGGGAGGTCTTCTGACAGCCGCCTCCAAAATGACGAACCCGAACTAAGAAGATGGAACCAAATTCCCCGCCGGAGCTTCTTTGGTTTTCATGTAGGTGAGAAGGGAATGTTCTGGAGCTTTTGGGGAAGGGGCTTTTGTTTCTGGCTTCCCTGACTTGTCAGCAAGGCTGCCGTGCATGGCGCGAGCTCAGCGCAGGAAACCCAGGGAACCCGCGTCCACTAATAAGGCTGAGCACGCCACTAGTTCGTGGCCGTGGCAAAGCACCTCTGAGCACAGGCAGAGTCCTCCCTGCGTACCCTCCGCGCCTCTCCAGCTACACGGAGCCACCGAGGCCGCCTCATGCAAATGAGGCGAGGCGGAGGGCGGGAACCTTCCCCGGCGGGCGGCCCAAGCGCGCTCCTACCTGGCCGCCCGAGCGCAACAAAGCAAGCGGGAAGAGGCGTGTGGGGAGAAGCCGGCCGGGGAGGGTCTGGGGTGCCAGCCAGGACGAAAACCAGGGCTGGATTTGCAGCGCCCCAGCCAAGCGAAGCAGCCGGGGATGAGCCGGCGAAGGCGGAACGGCCCCCGGGTACGTCAGGCGAGCGCGGGCAGTCGAGAGGCACCCAAAGCTTTAGGGAGCCGGGAAGAGGAGGAAGGAGGAGGGGCGGGGGGGCGGCACTCGATCCCTCCCGCAGTCTGGGTTGCCCTGAGCGGGGCGAGGGCCTGAGGAGAGCGGAGCTCCGGATGGGTCTGATGTCACCGTGATGTCAGGCTCCGAGCTCCCCGGAGCCCAAAGCGAGGGAGCACCGAAGTCGAAGCGAGACAGCGCCGGCCCCTCCTCGCTCCACCTCCGCCCCCGGCCGCCCTCCTCTCCCCGGGCTCCGCCACGGCACGCCCTACCCGGAGCTTGCGGCTGGCTGGCTGGCTCCGGCTACCTTTCCGCGCCTCAACTTTCCGAT